CCACCTTGCAGAGAAACTGCCTGTCTGCTTTATTGGTTCCATGCCACGGAGCAGCCAGGATCATGACCTCCTCTATTCCACCATCTTGAATCTGTTGAGAGTTTTTAACACGAAAGAGTGTTGTATTTTGTTATTATTTTCTGTTTCCACTGCGATGATGAGATGCTTCTGTAGATATGGGATGACATTGAATTAGTGGACATTAAACCAGTCTTGAGTACTTGGGGTAAAATCATATTTGGTCATGGTGTCTACTTTTTAAAATATCTTTGTGGATTTAATTTACTAATGTTTTGTGTAAGATTTTGAAGTCTGCATTCATAAGAAATATAAATCTGTTATTTTTCTTTCTCATAAAGTCTTTATTTCATTTTGCATTAGGCTAATAGTGGCCTCATGAAATGGGTTGATAAATATTTTCATTTCTATTTTTTGGAAGTGTTTGTGAGGAATAAGTATTAAACTTTCTTTAAATGTTTGAACTCACCAATGAAGCCATTGGATGTGGGCTTCTTTATGTCATGTTCTTGATTACTAATTCAATCTCTTTGCTTGTTACAGGTCTATTTTCTATTTCTTCTTACATTTGTTTTGGTAGCTTTTGTCTTCTAGGAATTTCCTCATTTCATCTGTAATGGTTTAGAGATGAGGAATCTCCCCAAAATTTTTGTGTGAGAAAATGCAAGAATGTTTAGAGGTCAAATGATTGGGTTATGAGAGCCATAACCCAATTAGTGAATTAACCCCCATTAGAGATTAACTGGCTGGTAACTGAAGTCAAGTAGGGTATGGCTGAAGGAGATAAGTCATTGGGGGCATGTCTTTGGGGTATATATTTGTTCCTGGCCTGTGGAGTTTCCCTCTGCTTCTTGGTTGCCATGTCCTGACATGCTGTCTTCTACCACACTCTTCTGCCATGATGTTCTGCCTCACTTCAGGCCCAGAGCTATGAAGTTGGCTGTCTATGGACTTAGTAAAACCATGAGCCCCAAATAAACTTTTCCTCCACTAATTGTTCTTATCAGGCCTTTTGGTTATAGTGATGAAAACACCATCTAAAACACCATCTACACTCATTAATATACTATAGCCTATATTGTTCCTTCATATTTATTTTAGCTTCTATGAAGTTGTTGATAATGTTCTCTCTTTTGTTTCTGAAACTTGTAACATGATTCTCCTTTCTTGGTCAATCTAGCTTAAAATTTGTTAATTTTGTTGATATCTTGTGTTGGACATGGAAGGGTTGGGTTGTTGGACATGGAAGGGCTGGGTAGCTGGACAAGGAAGTCCAAACTTCCCAATGATAGGGCTCATTGCCACCTGGTGGGTTGGAATTTTCACATCACTCCTTGTCTTTCTTTGACAACAGCCTAGTGTGGGGGTGACAGTTGGTGCCTTTTTACAGTCTGGCATAAGTGGATGTCTAAGCTCCCTGTCAGACTTTGCTACCATGGAAAGGAATGGAATGTGTGTGTGTGTGTGTGTATGTGTGTGTGCGCGCACACGTGTTTTGTGAGAACAGAACGATTATTGTTTTAAAGATTTATTTCTGCTTGCTAGACTTCCTTTATTCTAGTTCTTTGACTACTTGGGCTAGAATAAACAGACTTTTCTTCTAGTTCAAACATGCATTTAAAAGGATTTTTTGTTGTATATTATTTTATATTTCTAGGAGTTTCCTATCAGAAATGCTTTTCATGTAATGTAGTTTTTAGCTAAAAGTAGATCCAAAGATCCATTTCTTTTTTATCCTTGTGTTTGTAATATTGTTAACTATTGCATGGTGATTTTTTTTGTCTGAATTCTGCTGATTATCCTTCTTTAATTTCATAGTTTTCAGTTTACAGTATGAGCACACCCCAACTGTACTCAGTTTGTGACAAAATGACATTAGTGATCAAAGTAGCATTTATCTATTCAAGCAGAGGAAATGAAACAGAGAAAGGAGATGGCTTAGCTTCACTGCTCATGGAAGAACAGAATATTAAAGAAAAATGAAAAAGATTAATTTCTGTTTGTAAAAGACTGAGTGTCTGGCAGTTTTACCACTGTTAAAGCAATCACCCTCCCTACCACCCCAACTGGAAAAATCTGTCCCAATGTATGTTAAGCTCAAACTCAAAAACAATTAGCCATCTCTCTTCCCAGTACTTGTCCAAGAAGGCAGACCATCAGTTTAGTTCTTTCTGAGACAAGTCAACTGAGCAACATATGGAATGGTGGGAAGCATTCCATAATATAAGTGGGATTTTAAAAAATATAAGGTGACTTGAGGCCCGTGAAAAATAAGACAAATTTAAAGTGAGATTGTTAGCATGGAGAGAAGATCTTTTTTATTATTAATAATCAATTCATTTCTTTTCTTCAAGATTTAGATAGAAATATAGACATCAATTTCAAAATCATTAATTTTATAATAGTTTCATTAAAATTCTAGAAGTACCCTCTTTCAATTTTTCTCTTTATATATTGTAAGTAAATAATCAAAGAGGTGAAGAAGCACAAAGGAACATTGCTGAGGGTGCTCATACTCCATCTTCATTATCTGGGATCTCAAAACAAGAGGACACAGCGGATGCTGAAACACAAAGCATTAAAATATTGAATTGACCAACTTGCCCATGCAAATACAGGTAGTAAAAACTAGTTGTAAGTTGTGCATTTAAAGAGAGTTGTCCACTCATCCCCATTTCTTATCTCTATATTATTCTCTCCCCTCCCCTTAAAGACATCAGAAAACATCTGTGGAATTAAGTCCAGTGGGTGACTAGTAACCATGTGATCTGATTGTAGTAATGAGAAGCAGAGACAATAAGGCAAGAGATGACTTTGAGTAGTTATCTCCTTTGGACCCACAGTTGCAGAGTTCATTTCACTCTGTGACTTTGAGTCTCACTATATGATATTGCTACGAAATCTTTAGCAGGCCACTTTTTGGTTTGGTGGGAAATGGAGGATTCCCATGGCCCCTGGCCATTTTCTAATTGTGAATGGCTACATGAGGATAATGACTATATTCCAATTCATATGTCAATGTCTTTCTTTTGGTTCTCATCTCTTGTGGTATTATGTCCTTACTTTATTAGCTGTCAAACTACTCTCTATCAGGGAAAACAAAATACATTATGCATTGTA